AGGTGGATGATGAGAAATGAGACAAGGTAGGTGGCCAAGGGTTGTCTGGTGGTCTTAGCGAAGTTATTTGGATTCCATCCTTAAAGAGCTAGATAGCTGTTCAATGACCGAGGTATAGGAATGCCTTGGAAGCTTGAGATTTGCATTTAACAAAGTTTATTCCAACCTCAGTATTGAATTTCCTGCCAGTTTTACTCTAGCAAAGCTGAGAATCTCAGTATTTTATGATCTAAGTTTCTTGACAACTAAATTAATAAGGTCTTGAGAAAGAGAATACAGTAGTTTATAGTTTATTTTGTCAATTAATGTAATAAAGCCCAAATATTTCATAACTCTCTTTAAATATCATTAAATAATATCTATTTGGACTTTGGCTCTATCCAAGACATTTCAGGCCTAAATAGTCTTATCTCTTCAGGTGTTCATAATTAAGCAAAGTCAAGATGGCAGGGGGTTCTCTGGATATTGAAATAGAAAGCAAAAGCAAAAGCAAAAACAACAATGTACTTAACACACACTAATATTTGTTTAAAATAAATACTTAAGTGAAAAAAATAATATTCCGAATAATACCCATGGTGCCTTCATAGTTCTCTGACTCCATAGTCAAGAAACTGTTCACTTTCTTCACTGCACCCATCTGGACCTCCAGGTCAGCTAAGTTCCTCACAACCCAATTCAAATAATTGGTTATCTGTGTCAGGTGACAGAAAAATTAACATATTTAGGTTAAAGTAAGACACTTTTGTAATTGCTGTATATTTTGGAATAGGATGATGTGGATGGTTAGTGTGTACTGTGTGGTATAACTCATAAGCACTGCAGGATATTAGAGAACACCATGGGATATATTGGCAAAGAAAGGTGTCTGCTCTCTTCAAGGGCCCCCAGGTGTCACCGATATGTGGACTGTCCTCTGGTTTCCCTGCACAATGGAGAGTTATATACACTTTTGTTTGCACTTATCTCATGAGTATTCACATTCATTGTAGTGTCCCCACTGGGCTGGGAACAACTCAGGAGCGGGATCCTAAAAAACCCTGGGAGCACCCAGACCATGGGATCTGATTAGTTTTAAAAATTGGTTCACAATGTCAGAAATGAATCCAAACTGTCCTAAAATGCTGGGTTTTAGGTTTTGTATAATTATTTGCAAGATGTCAACTTCTTATGAATTTCAAACTTCTCCTCTAACATCCAAGAATAAGAGTTGATAATAACTATGGCAATTACCACCAACACTACTCGAGAGGAGAGAGATTTTCATCCATACCTACCGTAAGTGCATACAGAAGACCCAAGCCCACCAATCCAGAATTGGAAGACCCACTGATGCATGCAATAGATGCAGTGAGGACAATGCAAGCTCCCAGATAATCCTAAAAATGAGCAAGGAAAAAATGTTAAAAGATTATTCCCAAGTTCTTGAACCAAAGATCTCAATCAACTTACAGAGGTGATCACTAGAAAAACATACTCCATCCTATGTATGTCCTGTTAAATTTCAGAGGAAGAATACCTAAGATGTAGAGAAAAATGGTAACTTACAATATAGGGCTGGAATGGAGAGCGATGCAATGTCCTCATTATATATATAAAGATGCAGGTTCAGAGAAGTTAAATACCTTGGCAGAAGTTAAGTTGCAATCCGTGGCACAACCAGGATCAGATGTAGGATTTCCTTTCTGTCTCTTACTACTGCATTGTGTTGCCAGACAAGCAACTATTTCTGGACCTGATTTTCTAGCTTAAATTTCATGTGTTCTTATGTCAGGACTGTGATTAGCTCTTCTGTGTGCCGTAGCAAGGCCCCTGCAGAAATTTGCCTCTGCTTAACTTGGTATTTGCATCGGAACTTTGTGTCAACTATCTGGGCTTAGAGTCTGGGACATTAAATCTATAGATTTCACATAAATAAGAATAGAGCCTATATTTTTTCCAAAATTATAAGTATGGATATGTCTTAGTGTATCTGGATTGTGTACGATTTAATTATAAACTCTTTCACAAAACTTTAAAAATTCATTAAGAGTCACCTTAGACTCAAATGAGAGATAGAGACATCTGTACCTTTTCTAACGCCCTCTTCCTTTCCCAACTCCCAATATTCTTAGGGGTTGTTCTGTCTTATCATTCAACAAAGAAATCCTAAAAACTTCTCATGGTAATGTATCACATGTCCCAAATGCAGGTAGAATTTCAGGCATGGGTACTTCTAGAATTTTCTCAAGTTTCCTCCCACTGATGAACCTTTCTAGCTAGACACATCTCTGGTCCCTCAAAAAAAAAAAAACAAAACAAAACAACAACAACAGTAATAAAAACCAGGTAGCAACTAGGTGGTAAGACATTAATGACAGTAATGGAGTGTTTAACATGCTGAAATCAAAGAATGAAGTTTCTCAAATGAGCTCACATGTGTGCATTCCTATCTCCTTTAAAAACAGCTCCAAAGATCAAACTGTTGGAGAGCAATCAAGGATCCCACCCTTGGAGTCTGAATCTGGGTTCAAACACTGGCCTTGAGCTTAGGCAAGTACTCTAAGCCCCTCTGAGATTCAATTCATTCTTTGGAAAATAGATATTATATCTAATTCACAGGAATTTTAAAAGGAATAAAAATGTTAAATACCAGATAGATTTCCCCATCTCCATGTACCAGTATGTTTTTTCTCCCTTGGATAATTTTCAAATGTATGAAGCAATGTTAAAAATTTGTGTGCATCATAAAAAACCAAAGGTTAAAACAGGCACTAAAATTTAATACCATATTGATTCCCACGATCTTTACCCAGAATAAAGAAAAAAAATCAAATAAAGTTTATCCTCAATAAATTCCACAGAGGTAGTAAATACTTCTTTGATTATTTCTTCTGATGTATCCATTTGTTAACAACTTGTCACACCCCAATCAGACAGTTCTTCCTCTT